AGATCTGCAAGATCATCAAACTGGAGAACTTTGCAGTCGGCAAGGACATGCAGGGTTCGTGAACTATTTCGGACCAATGTTGCCAAGCAGCTCTCTCACATGGGGGCCATCACGCTCTCTATGGACCAGATCAGCTTGATCTTCGGACCGGCTAAGCAAGCCAAACAGGTCGTCATTGACAAGATCAAGATCAAGTCTGGAGATAAGGATGTGTCCTTCTACTACCGGGTGAGTGCGGACTACGGGAATGCCTGCTATGCTGGATGGTGGAGGAATCTTGTGTCCAACGAGGTTCTGTATGAGCTGTTCAACTGCACCAATGAGGAGGTACTCGGCGACGGCTTTGAGATGTTGCTGGGATTCTTCGAGGTGATTGGACACTTCCAGAAGGTGCTTCCGAAGTGGGGGAACATCCATGCCTATAAGCGTTGGTTGGAAACGTCGATGATGCCCTATGTCATTGCGGGTTTCCCCAACATGCCCTTCACCAACAGGAAGAGGGGGAATGTCAAGCACATGAACCCGACCCCGGCTGCGGATGTGGAGAAGGAGATGGAGCGTATCCAGCAGCAAGGTACCTACTTGCACCCGATGGTTCGGAAGGTCATGGAGGAGATGAACAAGCAGACCGGCGGCGCTGGATCCGGCGAAGGGACTGGCGGAGGCCCTGTGCCCCCCAGGACCGAGCAGGACGACGGCGACGAACTCATAGGCGCAGCAAGTGAAGGCTACCCCAAAGATGAGGACATGGGGGAAAAGGGGGCTCAAGGCAGTGAGGACGAAAGTAGGAAGCGCGTGGAACAGCTCTTCCGCCAGGGCATGGAGGAGGCGAAGAGGAGGAGGATCTGCCTGGGATGCGGAACAGGAAAGCATTCCTTGAATGAGTGCTCATCTGAAGACAAGAAGGACTTCGCAGTCAAGGCTTTCCTCACCATCTTCGCGGCGATCAACAATGTACAGGCAGATGACCAGGGCACTGAAAACCCAGATCCGTCGGCTTCATCGTTTAGTGGTGGATCCAGGAACAAGATGCCCTCGGCCGTGCCAAAACCAAGCAGGAGGCACGGGTCGAGAACTGTTGCCCATATGTACGACCAACCAGCGTTCATGGACGGCATGGCTGACATCCTGGAGGGAGGCTATATGAAGTCGAGGGGCGAGGACTGGAGTTTTGCAACTTTGCGTCGCTCCAGCAGGGGATCAGGAAGATCAAGTTCCCCGAGGTCTACTGGGTCCCTAACGAGGACGGCCCTAGGTCAGCGGGTGTCCGGGATGATGACTCATGGAAGCCCTGTGGAAGCCAGGCTATGTGCCGGCGACCTACGGTCTTCCCAAATTCACCACACTCCAGGTGGTGAACATCCGTGAAGCCCACAGGGATATGTTCTTCGAGGACACCTACCGTGCAGATGTACGCTACAATATATGACAGCTATAAGGAGAGGTACTACAGGGACGAGGCTGCCGGCAAGTTGCTCTCGGCCCTCAGGTACAAGATTGGCGTCTCCGAGAATGCGTACAACTGTGATGAGGGCGGTTGGGTCAACGTCGACGAGATCCTAGAGGACTACCACATCTTCTACGGGACCAACAGGAGGGATAACCGGCAACTGCTCTTGGGCATCCTCGCCATGGAGCATGACATCGCGAGTGACAAGGTCAGGTTCCAGCTCTTGGGAGCGAAGTTTGACTTTTGCGGGGATACTGAGGTCTCCAGAGAGGACATGGTCACTCAGCTCAAGGCCGAGGGCGCAATGAGCGATGATGACATCGACGCCACCATCGATCGGCACCAAGGGTGGTACAAGCCATGGGTGATCAGGGCCACGGTCAAGAAGCGCGGGACGGGCTTCAGTATGGCTCACGCCCTGGCCACCAAGCTTACTCGCCAGGTGGGGCATTCTTTGTATGCCATTTACATTGAGGGCCATCATGCAGGAGGGCCTGAGGGCCTGGGATGTCTATGGCGTCCCGAAGCCCATCAAGTTCGGTGTCACTCCTCCTTGGTCTCATGGTAACTATGCAACCAGGACCTACTCGGAAGGGGACAACAAGTGCATCATCATGTACATCCCGTCGGAGGTATTGCTCCGCTATGACGCTGGGATCACGGAGAATGGCATCATTGTGTGCAGTGCGAGCATTCCGTTCGTGGAGGGGTAGACCATCTGCATCGCTACAGGCAACCAGCATGGGCCTGTGACCGGTGTTGTCCGACTCTTCGCCAAGGGGATCGCACAGGAGATCTGAATGGGTTTTGCCTGGTCTGGGAGGAGCAACGACCTGAAGGTTTTCAATGAGGACCTTGACAAACTCTTGCAAACCTTCGATGACGACCACGTGCCCGCGCAGCATCTTCGCACCATGGCAGGTGCACTGGCATCAAGGCTCGACGGAGGAGGAGCCGGCGGAGACCATGTGTCCCCCGGTGACGAATCCGAGCCGATCTCGAAGTTGATCTCAGACATTCGTCGAGAGGTCAGCAGGTTGGTGGTCCATGATCACCCGAGATGGCCAGGGCATCGCGTTGCAGGGCATGCCCAGCGTGCATGGAGATCATCCCCAGCACTCTCACGCAGTGCATCACTTGTGGCGCAAGGCTTATGACGAGCGGGCGCTTTGTGGAGGAGATCGTCGAGAGCGACGGCGAGGATAAGGAGGAGGACCAGGAGGTCCCCGAAGGTGCTCGCGAGGCTGCACAGGAGGCAAAAGAGACATATGCCAATGATGCTAGTGCGGCTGCTGATGACCAGGATGAGCCAATGGCATCGGGTTCAAACGCGGAGGCCGAGGATCGCTTCACCAACGACGACCACGATGCGGCCACCGAAGCAGAGAACACCGATAGGGGAGAAGACGACCATGAAACGGGTGCTCCTCTTACCAAGGTGAACTTGATGGCTCTGGAGGCATCGTTCTGTCTCGATGGAGACGAACCTGGAGGATACATCGGAGTATTCTTGATCAAGGGCTTGAAGACCAAATGGGCCTATTTCGAGAACGCAGAGGGGAGGGTGAACGCCACTAGAGGGCCACTGGAGGAGGATATCATCTGCCCTACAACGGGGGCACGAACTGGCCGCTCACCCAACTTGATGCCGATGGGATGCCCCCCGAGTACAACGAGGTCTACAGGATGGTATCGAGTGACCCGGAGGAGCAATCCTCACATTGTTCTCTTCACGAACATGTCAGATTCAAGTTCCTCAAGGTAAGGGGCAGCTACATCATGCATCGACTCTGGAGGGCTGCGAAGAAATACAACCTTACGAAGACGGACGTGACCTTCAACATGGAGAATGAAGCTCACAGAGCCGCTCGCATTGCCTACCGGTTGGTCAAGGTTGCTTATGGGGTGAGGCTCGTGACTTTCGCCGATCCCCTGGGTGGCAGCCGAAGTGATGTGGTGTACCTACCGATCGGGGAGCTCGTTGCCACGGAGACCGACAAACATGTCGATGTGAAGTTGATGGCCTGGTGCACCAGCAACCACTTGGAGGTTCCGGCTTCTCATGCATCCTACAACGAGCAAGTGGCGAAGAAGAGGCTGGAGCAGTTCCGAGTCAGAGCGAGGAGAGCTGCACTCACGAATCAGTGAGGATGGACGGCTAGACTCTGAGCTGGAGATGACCTACGGCAAGACTGGAATGATGGGATGAGGGGACTTTTCTCCTGATGGGTCGGAGCGCTTGTCGCCCTTCCCTGATGGATTGTTCCACATCATCCTGAGGATGGTGTGTCTGCCTAGGCCAGATCCAATTTTGTTGGTTAGGTAGAACCTGGCCAAGTAGTCTTCCGCTTGGGGCGTGAGCTCCACGTTAGGCATGCTTGGACGAATCCGGGTTGAAAACAGTGAGTCTCATAGCCGAGCTGCGACATTTCAAAGACACCCCTGCTGATTCATGCATAAGTCTCTCAACACGCTGCGTAGACATGTATAGCTTGCCTGTCATTGGGTTTCTTGATGTTAAATGTTTTCCAGAGCAGATGATGAACCTCTACCCTGGATGGGGGATGCTAAGAAACCCCTGGCTGCGGCCTTAATATCCATGGGTATGTTCTGGTGCCTGTTTGTGGTTCTTTGTTGGGCCCCAAATTGTTGTGCTGTATTGGATGAGGACCCATTGACATGGCTTGCATGAGATTAGAGTTCTCAGGCATCACCAAAGCCGATGCGGCTTTGGCTCAAGGTACATCTCAGCTGAAGAGGCTGAGATCGTACCGCAGGAAGATACCCTTTAGAGCGTGAGCCGTAAAAGGGCGGTTTACTGACGGACTGTTTCCTCTGGCAGTGCTTGAGCGGACTTATAACAACTGAGTTACGAGTACCTGCACACATCTTTGTGCGACTGGGTGAACAATCAGGGTACCAACTGGTTTCCCATCCGACGGCGCACCACACACACACACACCACACCACACCACACCACGCCACGCCACGCCACGCCACGCCGCACCACACCACACCACACCACACCACACACACACAAGCACACACATCAGCACACACATCAGCACACACATCAGCACACACAACAGCACGCACATCAGCACACACATCAGCACACGCAACACACACACACACACTCACACACATCAGCACACGCAACACACACACACACACACGCACACACATCAGCACGCGCAACACACACACAAATCAGCACACACATCAGCACACACAACATGCACATCAGCACACCCACACACACACACACATCACCACATCAGCACATCAGCACATCTGCCCCCCCCCCCCCCCCCCCGGCCTCGCGCACACACGCGGCGCGCGCGCGGGCGTGCGAAAGCGCTGGGCCCGCGATGGGACCAGAAGGCTTTGGAGGCCAATCATGGTCAAAATCCTGGCCCCAAATTGTGTCCTCGCGCTTTCGAGGGCACCTGAGCAAACTCTGCTGGGAGGCCCAAGGTTTCTTGTAGCTCCCCATACCCCCTCCCAAAACCCGAGGATGAAAACGTCAAGAGGTCCCTGCCATTGCCAGGCTGACGCAAACAGGAAGACCAGGGCGCTGCTCAAGGCCGTGTCAACAGCGATATCGGGAGACCATGTCATTCGTTTGAACAACCATGGAAGTGCATAGGAGGCGTTGGCAAAGGGAAGGTAGCTTGGGCCGCTTGGGGAAATCTCCACTTCAAGTTGTTTGTCACAATTTGTTCAACAAACGGAAATGGAAGGTTCCAAGCTGTTGACATGGGGTAGCATAGTAGTCAATATGTTGAACGCCCACTTGTGAGAACCCAGCCACAATTGCTTGTGGAAGGTGGTTGTCAGGCCTACGCTGATATTTGAGACGATTACGTCAGTCCCACATGTAACGGCTTGATATGTATATATGTATATATGTACACAGGCATTACATAATACATATAATACATAATGCATATGTATATATATACACATATACATATACGTATTTACATATACATATGTCTTTTTATCCCATTGAGCAAGTGAAGATCGAGCCACGGCTCGCAGCTTCTTGGGATCAGGCCTGGAAGAGCCTCCCTTGCTGGATTCCGGATTTACTGAGGGAGGTTCGTTTCTGGGCTGCGCCAGCTAGCTGTCCGTGGGGAGCCATAGGCCTGGCGCTCGTCGTTTGCAGCTGCTTTTTCTGGTGCTGCGGGCTGCTGTGTGGAGCTGTGCTTTTCAGCCTCCACTGCCGACGACTGACATCCTACGTGCTGACTGCCCTCCTCCACGGTCTTACGGCTGGCTGAGTACGGGCGCATCAATTGACCCCACCCTATCGCCATCAGGAACCCATCCTTGTGCAGATCTTCGCATCCCACTTGTGAGGACACCTGTTGATCACCTTTGCAGTTAAAAAGGTCGAACAGCGGCCACGGCCCACGCCTGGGAAGCCCAGGGCCCATGGCTGCTCGAGGCAGCTTGAGGCCTCTGACCCAAGCAACTGCTGCAGAGCTTTTGGCCGGAGCCCCTGCAGGGAGAGGATGGCTAGTGTTCTTCGAGCTTGTGGAAACTGGACCGGGCGGCGAAGATTTGGCCTCTGGTGTGCTGCTTTACCTTCGAGCTGGGGGTTTCATGTTGGGCGTGCCTGCAGAAGAAGTGGTGCACGACACCTTGCTGGCCATGGCTATAGGGGCTGGGGCAGAGGAGCCCGTTTTCGGGTCTGGCCAGGTGCAGATGGAAAGCTCCCAAGGTCGGCGCTTGGGAACTTCGCTAGTGGAACTAGTCGATCTTCCCTGGGCGCTTGTGCAACAATTCTCAGTTCTTCCGCGGCTGGGCGGCCTTCGAGGACCTGGAGTTCTTCAGTTCACCTGCGGCGGGGCGTCTGCGCGCCCAATTGCGCACGCCTTGGCGCAGCTGGCAGATGCTTGGATCCAGAACGGCGAGCTTGCCGAGGACACGGCCCAGGAGTACATGACTGCGGAGGACTGGGAGGGCGAGATCGACGGGGAAGAGCTTGGCGAAGAAGAGCTGTTTCCACAAGACGAGCCTGCAGCCCCTCGCGAGGGTGGGGCTGCCGCCGCTGCCACGGCCAAGCTGCAGGGCCGCATCCGCGAGCTCGAGAGACAGCTGGCAGTTGCTCAGAGCACCCGGCCCTCCCAACGCGTTCCGCCTGCAGGGGGCCGAGGCAAAGGGCCGGCTTTGTTCAACATTGGCGAGGGGGCTGGCTTGACTGCCGTAGAGTGGACGCGCTTGCAACGGCTGGCCGGGGCTCCTCCGCCGCGCATTGGAGCCGCAGAGGGCCGACGGCCAGCTCTGACCACGCCGAGATCGAGAAGGAAGCCAACGAACCAGGAGCTCTCCAGGCAGAGATGTTGGAGGCGGAGGGCCTCGAGCCCAAGGACCCACTTCACCAGATCCTGCTAGCTCAGCTTCAGCAAAACCAGTTGCTGATCGAGCGCCTCACTTCGATGAAGAACGTCGACCCCATCCTGGGCGCCCTCACCGGCAGCGGTACGGACAGCGCCGCCGCAAGCAGCTCCGGCGTGAAGGGTTGCATGGCCAGGGAAGCATTCCTGAAGGCTGCTGCGGATCTCCCAAGGCTGGCCCTTACAGCGCAAGCAAATGCTTTGAAGGAGTTGGGCTACGGGCCGGAGAAGGCAACTGGCGACCTGATGAAGAAGTACATGGAGCGCCGGATCCCCTTGGCGGACCACAAGCTCCTGACGTACTTTGCAACAATGTGCGCCGAGGCTTGGTCCGTAGGGCATGGGAGCCAGAACCTGGAGTTGCAGGGTTTTGCTGCAAAGATGTTGGTCTTCATCGAGCAAGCCAGCATAGACTCGGGAAAGTACCAGCTGGCTTGGCTACTGACTGGCCTTCAGGAGCCCCCGTTCCATTTGCTCGTGAAGCAGCGATGGAATCCAGGCCTGCAGCCTTTTGCCAGGCTTTGTTCCCCAACTTGGATCAGTGCCAACCTGGCTTTCCTCAAAGGGTTTGGATTATGCCGAAACTCGCAAAGCTCAGATCGGCAAGCAGACCAAGTTTCCGGCCCAGGAGGACGACGACGAGGTGAATGCTGCAAACCGGAAGCCCAGGAAGCAAAAGGGAGGAAAAGGAAAGGGCAAGGGCAGCAAAGCCGACGAGCCAATGTAGCTAGCCCTCACAGCAACAGCCCAGGCCAACGGCCACACAGCCATGGGAGTGCCCGCACAGCAGTCTGTAAATTCAGTGAGCTTGCGTGCTTGTCCCAGCCCTGTGCGGCCCCAGCGAGGCAGCCTGCGGCAGGTCCCTTGCCTGACCTAAAGCCTTCCTCTGATAAATTGCATGACCCTTTGAATTTGGTGAAATCGCTCGTTAAAGCCTTTTGGGGTACCCAAACGTGCTTGACTGCGTTTGCAAGGGCTTCCCTTGTACCCGCCTGCAATGTGCAAAGGGATCCTCGGCGGAATCCCTTATGGCCTGTCCCCCTGCCCAGGCGATGGACAGACGATGCAAATCTCGGACCTCGCAGGCGACGGCGCCAGCGGTTTTTCAAGCTTCGGCATGAGATGCTCCAGATTGTAGTTTGCGCTTTGAACTGGGTCACCTTAGAGTGTCCTCATCGGCCACCGCCGAGTGCCCAACTAGGGGCACCAATCTCTGAGCACCAACATTCAATACTGGAGCGCCTGGAAGGTCTCATAACTCATTTCTTGCGCATGCCTGCTTTTGGAAGTGAGGACCTAGGCCGAGCTGCTGAAAAGTTCGGGTCATTAATTAAGGGTGTTGAGGAACTGCCAACAAGGTACGAGGACCTCCACATTTTGCTCAGTGAAATGCAAAGGGATTTGGACCCCTACAGCTCGCATTTTGCACGTGAAAGCCCGAAAGCGCAAGACAGTTCAGCAAGTAAGACCGGCAGCTCGGACTCGGATGTGAGCTTTTCCAGCGACCAGAAGGTGCCACTTGAAGCTCTTGGTGCCCGTCCCGTCATATCAGATAGGATTAAATGGAAGCACCCTCCTAGCTTCAGCCCTGAAACCTTCCTAGATGACCCGACCCGATTGTCCGTGCTGCTTACAAAGACCCAGAAGTCCTCAGACTCGACCAGGCCAGTTGGCCCCCCGCGTGGCCTGCCCGCATGCACGTGTCCAAGAGTGAATTCCTAAAGCTTGTTGCTAGATGGGACGAGCTCGGGGCGTGTTCTCTAATCCCTGCTGACTCAAAAGACTTTGCCGAGGCAGTTGGCATTTTTTCTGTGCCCAAAGACAGCCGTTTTGATCGCTTGATTGTTAACCCAAAAGCAATCAATTCGCGCATGGCCACAGTGTCTGAGTCCACTAAGGAACTTGCCCCTGGGTGTATGTTAGGTTTGCTGAGTTTAGGAGCAGGTGAAATGTACCGATTCTCTGCTGACGACCTTAGTGACTACTATTACACTTTCGTGGTCAGTGAAGCCCGTGCTCAGAGAAATGCCTTCCGTTTGAGACTGCAGGGATCCGAAGTGTCTCACTTGCGGTGTTTCAAAGAGGAGCTCAGAAACAAAGAAGTTCTAGTCTGTTTGAAAACCCTTGCCATGGGGGATGGGTTGGCTGTAGAAATTGCGCAGCAGTCACATGCCAATGTCCTCAGATATCTCTGCGGGGCGATGCGGCCTCATGAATGTCTTAGGTACCGCCAGCCAGTGCCTAGAACTGACTTTGTTGAGCTCTTGGCAATAGATGATCATGTGAGGTTGCAACGGCTTCCAATAGCGGATTTTCGCAAGCAACCTGCCTTGCGTGACACTGCAGTCTTTACTGCGGCGGCAGGTGCCTACAAGACTGTGGGCCTAATCCAGCAAGAAAAGAAACAGAAACGGAATCAGACGCGGGGGATCATTCTTGGAGCTGACTTAGATGGCCTGCTGGGGCCGGTGATGGCCCTGCGCGATGGCTGCGATTTTTGCTTCTCTTAGCCGGGGATATCGAGCCAAACCCTGGTCCTCGAGCAAGACCACGAGTTGCACGAGGACAACTTGACCTGTCGGTCGGCTTTGCGCCTGAGACTGCCTCACGCATGGTAAAATCCCTTGGGGCCTTCAGAGTTTGGGTCACTGAGATAGCTGAGCTAAATTGGGCTGCCCTTATCAGTGATCCTGAGGCCCTAGCGTGGGCTCTTCAAGCATATGGGATGCACCTTTTCCAGACCGGGTGTCCGCGGTATTTGCTGGTGTATGCAATCACTGCTGCCCAGGACCAATTCCCTGCATGCAAGTCTTTCATGTCTGTTGCGTGGCAAATCGATCGCAAGTGGCAAATCCATGAGCCGGGGAAGTGCCGACCGGTCCTTCCTGCAGTCGCTCTGCGAGCAGCTGTGACACTTGGCCTTTTGTGGAATTGGCCCCGATGGGTCGGCATTGTTTTGTTGGGTTTTGCAGCTATGCTTCACCCCGCGGAAATGATTGCTTTGAAACGGGCTGACCTCATTTTGCCAAGCGACGTGGCTCATGATCACTGTTGCATGTTTGTTCACATCCGGAATCCTAAAACTGCTCGGTTTGCCCGGCGCCAGCATGGGCGTATCGACGATCCTCTGATCATTGCCTTAGCTGAAAGACTTTATGGGCCACTGAACTTGGAGGCCCAT